GGCCTTCATCCACCAGTGGACTGATCATGGGTGATGACGATGAAGATGATGCAGGAGTGGATAGAGTATGACTGATGCCCACTGGCTTTATATTGATTGGTAGCGGCCTTGCTGCGGTGCTGCTGTTGTAATCGGATTCCCTGTGATTTAAGCGACGGCTGCCGCTGCTGCCACTTGTGATGTCCAAGCACTCACGTGCCGAGTCTCCATCGCTCTCTCTCTCATGTAGGATGCATGAACGTCGCATGAACGTCGCATGAACGTCGCATGCGCCGCCAGTGACGAGGAAGGGTGGCTCTTGCACCGCCGTCCATAAATGACATCATGCACCTGGGGGGGGGGGGGGGGGTGAGAAATGTGACGTCACATAAAAATGCGCAACTTTAAATAAATATAGAATTGTTATAACACTAATTGTTATAACACTCCTACAACATCAGAGTGCAGCGCCACATTAAATACACACTACAATGGCAATATAGTTTAAAGCATGTGTTATGTTCAAAATGAAAATATGGTTTGGGGGGGGGGGCAGAGCTTTGTGACGTCATATTTGAGGGGGGGTCTGACTTTTTGTAACGCCGTGTGACGAGGGGGGGGGGGGTCAAAAATCGTCCAAAATCGCGTGACGTCATTTATGGACGGCCCCTAACGCAGCGTTAGACCATGGTGGTGCCAGACCGAGGAAGATCCAGGCTGTTAAGACAAATATCCCCCGTGTAGCCTTAACAGACTGTTGGGGCAAGTGCTGTTAGCGAGCACCTATGAAGGCCGGCACGGCACACGAGGGGGTGGGTGGCCAGCACCACGCCCAGCCACCTTTGCCTCCCATGTGTCGATGTTTACACACCGCACCAGATACTGATTTGAGGCTTAGTCGATCTAGGGGAGGCCCAGCGCCGGTTCAGATAATCGTCACTGGTGGTGGCCGTGAGCGGGAATCGAACCCGGGCTCTTAGCATACTACGCCCACCGCTCCCCATGAACCACGCTGCACCACGCGTCATACAAACATCCTGCAACTCACACGTGGAACATTGCACATCTGCTGTCATTGCATGGCAATAGCAAGCAGGCGTGGCCAACACACTCGGACCACCGCCATCACATCAAGCACTCTCTCGCGCGCTCTCCTCACTCTCTCTCTCTTTCCATTTATTTTTAAGCCATTAGCGGCTAGCCCTGGGTTTTGAAAAAAAAAGAATCTGTTTCATTCGCCTCCCCACCCTCCCCCACCATTGACCACCCTCCTTCCCCGACAAGACAAGATCCCCCGTATAGCCTAAACAGACTTGCGGGGCAAGTGCTGTTAGCGATTAGCACCTATGAAGGCCGGCACGGCACACGGAGGGGGTGGGTGGCCAGCACCACGCCCGGCCGCATTTGTCTATCCCAGTGGCGATGTTTACACACCGCACCAGCTACTCATTTGAGGCTGAGTCGACCTAGTTGAGGCCCAGGATCGGTTCATACCATCGTCACTGGCGTCGGTGGCCGTGAGCGGGTTTCGAACCCGGGGCGGCCAGAATTGTAGCGCAGCGCGCTAACCGCTACAACTACCGCCCCCCCACACACAGACACACGTACACACACGCATGCACGCAGATGCAGACTTATAGCCTTTCACAGATTGCTGCGACAATTGCTGTTTGCGAGCACCTATTGTGGCAGGAACGACACACCTATGATGTGGTGGGTGGTCAGCACCACACCCGGCCCCCTTTGTCTACACGGGAGTTGGTGTCAAAGTTTTAAGTTTGTTTTTTCTCTCTCTCTCTGGATTTTTGTTGTCTCTCTCTGCTTGTGTATCGGTCTTCGTGTCTGTGTCTTACAAATTTCACACTTAACTTCTAATTTAGCAATCTTTGGAAGAACGTAATCAACCAGGCTATATGCGTTAATTGTATGTTGACCGACCCTCTGTGTTGCATTGCATTACATTTCGAAATTTTGCTAGATTTATTTGATTTAGTGTACTTTCTCTGTCTCCACTCGTTTTGTCGTTCTTATATTCTGCTCTCGCTGTGTGTCTCGGCTGTTGTCCCTCTCCCTCTCTGCTTTTGTCTGTTCTTCGTGTTTGCGTCTTGTCTCTCTTTAAAATTTCACACTTAACTTCTAACTTAGCAATCTTTGAAAAACGTAATCAACCAGTCTATGCGTTAATTGTGTGTTGACCGACTCTCTGTGTTGCATTACATTACATTTCGAAAATTTGCTAGGTTAATTAATTCAGTGTGTCTCTCTTCTTTTTCCCTTCATTTTTCCAAGCTTCTGCAGCGTGCCACTCATTGACATGCTAATTTCTCTACCCCCTCCCTCTCTCTCCCACCCCCTCTCTCTTTTAAGGCCTCGACACAGAGGCGTGGTTTCTCTGTGTGCCTATGTACGTCTCTCTCTATGTATCTCTGTGATATCTGTCTCTACTTATATGTCTGTCTATATGTCTCTGGTTCTGTGTTTTGTCTCTCTCTCAAATTTAGCATTCTCAGGAAGAACGTAATCAACCAGGTAGGGTGTTGACTGTTATGTAATCCGACTCTCTTGTTGTATTACATTACATTTCTAAGTGTACTAGATTTGTGTTTCTATTTCATTTATACCTGATGATGATTGCTTGTATTGCAATCGAAACGTCGTATGCTAGTATTTAATTTATTACTTTCTCTTTACACGTGACTTTACCGAAACAACCAAAGAGTAGGGTGTGTTGGTGTGTTCGGCACCGCAACGGGGGTGTTCATTTCAGGCTGAGTCAGCCTAGGCGGAAGCCCAGGACCTGGTGAGAAAGAAAACAAATCGTCACTCCTGATTGTTCGTGAGCGGGGAATCCAACTGGTTCGTGATCACCGGGTTCGTAGCGCAGTGGTGCTGAACGATGCCCCCATTCGCACACAGACGCACGCAGCCCGCTTGGCGCAGTACGCAAGTCCAATGCAGACGCGCAATGCCCATTACTCACTTGCACACTGCGCTCCAAAGAAAAAAAACAGCCTCACACACTCCTCCTCCCTTGTATATTGACTCCACCAAGCACATAGCCATGCACTCATACGTACAAAGACCACCACGCCCCCTCCCCCCGCCCGCAGCTCCTAAAAGCCGAAGAGACTTGGGGGGGCATGTGTGTGTGCGTTAGCGAGCACGTTTTTGAGGCATGGAACGCACACGAGGGGGTGGGGTGGCCAGCACCACGCCCAGCCGCCTGCCTTAGACGATGTTTTCAGCAAAAATGTACTCATTTGAGGCTGGGTCGACCTAGGGAAGACCCAGGACCAGGTTTGGTGTTGGTTCGTGAGCGGGAATCGAACTCGCGTCGCCGGGTTCGTAGCGAGGTGCGCTCACCGCTGCAGCTGCCGCTCCCCACTCGTATCTACACACGCGCGCACTCACAAACACATTATATATGCACGCGTTCCTCGATGATGATGATGATTATCAGCCATGAGCAAACGACGCATCCACTACGAGATGAAGAATTTCCCCCAAATTCCCACGTTGCAACAATGCACCTGCGCACGAGATCAATTCACGCACTCCATCTCCCCCTGTGGTGGTCCCCCATAGGCACGTTCAGTAATTTCTTTGTCTCCTATGCACACGTGCTTATTATATACAGCGTGCTGCATTACACGTTGTCATTACTCTCTTTGCACGCAGATACACACACCATAGATGGATGTCTGTACAAATAACACGTATGATACATTGCATCGCCTATGCATTCTCACATAGCATATAGAGTATAGGATGTGTTTTGCAGAAACTGTACCCCGTTCAGTATATTTGCAAGAGCATATGTACTGTAGCAATACGCATAAATACATCAATACAATCACTCAGCATGTACTGTATAGTGCAATAGGAATGCATACTGTAGCAGATATACTGTTATGAAGTATATATGTACACAGCATAAGTACACGACTGCGAAACGTAGCATATATGCATATCACATATAAAAGCATGCACGTACACATGGCATTGTACCTAGCAAATGTACAATATAAGCTGTAATTCATAGCATATATGTACCGGCACAATTGGTATACACACGTACAGTATAGGGACATATGCACATCATATACACGCGTGCAGTATTTCAAATGGTGTATTTGCATAATTGATGCATTTTGAAAGTGTTGTTTTAATTATCAGATGTCATTTGTTATAAGCAATGGTTTGTGCGTGCAATGAATTGTCATCGTTATCAGCAGCAAATCGTCAGCAGCAACTCAGCTGAGTGTATGGTCGTCATTGTCATCATCAGCAGGAGTTTTCATCGATATGGCATGATTATTGATGAACGTCATAATCCTCAGGATATAATAAATAGCATTAATATTATCGTATGCGTCATAACAGCAATATCACATGTTTCGTCATTGCCGTTAACATGAACATCATCATTATCAGCGCACCATCAGCAATACATGTTCATGAACCTTATCATCATCAATGAATATAGGAATCATTATTAATTTAATAATATATCTTGATGATGAACGTAATTCTGAGTCGACGTTTTATTCATAGTTAAATCCATAATCATCATCATTAAATAATGCATTATCATGGACATCATTACGACGATCATTACAATCATTAAAAAACTTTGTCACGGTTAATATTACGAACATTATCATATATACTGTGTATATGGTCAATGCTGTCATATAAGTATTATTATCAATACAATACAGTGATTATGATCATAATAATCTGAATTACAGTAGCATTAGGATGCTATGATATAAATATCATCAGCAGCAGCGGCGGCGGCGGTGAGCTGCATAATTTTCTGCGTGATGTCATGCATCTCATCTTTTCAAAATGAAAAAAAAATACACATTAGGCGGAGCAACTCAACGAGCGAGAAAGGAAGAGGAGAGAGGGGTGGGGAGGGAGTGAGTGAGGATGGGAGGGAAGGGGATGTGGGGAGACTGGTAGAGAGGGGAGGACCAGGAGGGAGGGAGGAGAGGACCAGGGGAGAGAGGAGGCATCCGTGGACTCTGCAAACGGGGCAGGGCTACCAAGGCAGAGGCCACACGTCCACTGCAAAGCAATTAAACACCATCCCTGCACGGGGATTTGTTTCTGTGCATGCTCGGACGAAGCCTGCTTTTGCAAAAAAAAAGGATCGTAGGAATATCACAACAACAGCGACGGCGTAACGCAAAGAGTAGTGATACGAATTAATAGTTACGGTGGAGGAGGAGGAGGCGGTCCAGGAATGGCGCACGCCGCCTCGAAGCTGAAGAAGGCTCGTGACCAGATCCAGGAGGTGTCGGTGCCGACACCGAAGGACAAAGAGAAGGAGCAGGCGGACAGGGAGAGGGAGGAGAAGGAGCAGAGGAGGGAGCAGAGGAGGCTGTCGCGAGAGAAGACTGAGCGGAGGCGTAAGGTCAGGGCTGCTGGCCACACTCGCCACCAATTAATTAGAACGGACCGCGACAATTACAGCACGTGCGTGTACACGTGTGTGCGTGCGTGCGTGTGCACGCGCGTGTGTGTGTGCGTTAATGGATGGTGATGTGGGGTGGAGCGGTAGCGTCGTGGTTTGCGCAATGCGCGCTGTGAATCTGTTAACCCTGGGTTTGATTCCCAGACACGGCTAACATCAGTGGCGGGTGAAATCTGAACCGGTCTCAGTCCTCCGGCCTCGTGTGCAGTGTGTAAACATCAGCATTGGGGAGACAAAGACGGCTGGGCGTGGTTCCGACCACACCACCTCGTCCTCTTGCCGTGCACTGCCTTGATAGGTTTTTGCTCACGGCGCGAGGCTACGAGAGGGATCGACAACGTTGTGTTCGTGGAGCGGAGTAAATATCAGTCCTGGGGATGAAAAAAAAGAGTCCGAGGGTGTTGGTGGTGCTGGTGGTGGCTACCTTTTGATGTGCGCCGTGATGGCAATAACAGGTGCTCGCGAACAGCGATTGCACCAGATGAGTCGTTTGATCCAAATGTTTGTCTTCTATCGAATTACCGAATACATTGTGTGTTTAGAATGATTGCACTGTGTTCTACGTATAAATAAATGCAGCATATTAATATTTTAATCTATTGTGAAAACAGGTCATGCAGTGTATTTTTACAGGCAGGAGTGGTCTGGGAGTTCTCGAAGCAATATATTATTTAAAAATGTATATTTAATTCCCGGATTTTTTTCGTTGTAATGCTTACATTTTTACAATATTCAGCGCGGGACAAAATTACAGATTAATTGTGTTGATGGACATGCGTGAGATCGCAAAAACATAAATTGTTGGTTTCAGTTATTACAGAATACAGATTTACGATATAAATAATACCGTTGTAGAATTTACCGCAACGATGCAGCAAATGTATATAGGGGCATAAATGTTTAAAATTGCCCTTTTTCAACTCAGCCGTTGGGTGACTTAAGTCCGACTTCGTGGAACAGATCACTGTTTACGTAAACGCCGCAGTGAATTTCACGTGAAAACTTTGTAAACACAGCAAGTTGATGTTCCTGAGCAATAATTGTTAGGGTTCACATTTCTGCCACAGGTGTAGACTTGGTGCTTGAGAGATTGAACAATATAATATTATAAATATAGTCTGTGGTTTTAACAGGGATAACAATTATGGAGATAATACAATGAAAACATCAAAAAAAATTTGATTTAAATGTGTGTATTGTCACAAGCTGAGAATATGGCGATGACTTGGAGAGGCCTTCATCCAGCAGTGCATCGATTATGGCTGAGGACGATGATGATGGCATAAAAAAATAATCAGCCTGACAAAATGTAGATTTGAGAAAATATTCACACGCTGAGGACGATGATGATGGACATAAAAAATAATCAGCCTGACAAAATGTAGATTTGAGAAAATATTCACACGTTTACGGCAAGCCACATAATTCGCTCATTAAAAAAAAAGCTCTCTTTGAAATATATTTATTAAAATCATGTCTTGATTCAATATTCGAGAACATGTGCATGTGTAGGCGTATTTCTGCGTTGGCGTCTCCATGTGCCTCGCACACTGACTGCGCTAGAAGCCAGCCATCTGGGTTCGATTCCCGATGGTGGCCAATGTCGGTGCCGAGTCGTATTTAAACCTGGTCTGGGCATCTTCTAGGTCGACTCAGCATTAAACTAATGCAATCTTTTGTACGGTGTGGTGCAAAGAGATCAGCAGAGAACTCAAAGGCAGCCCCGGACATGTCACTGGCCACACGATACCCCTGGTGTGCTGTGCTGGGCCCAATAGGTGCTTGCTAACAGCACTTGCTCTACACGTATATTCAGGCTATACAGGGGATTTTTGCCCCATACACCATCTATCTTTTCGTCTGTGTGCGTCACTGTGGCGTTGATAATGATATCACCGCTCTACCATCCTAGTATCGTAAACGTAAGTTCGATACCCAGTGCAATGATACTATTTCACACTTGTGTTGATGCAGACCGATAGCACCTTGTTCTATTTACTCCCAGACGAGGTGTGGAGAAACATCGGTCGTCGGAAGGGTGTAGGTGTGTGGTCTCCCCTAGGTTGACTCAGCCTCAAATGAGTACCTGGTGCGATGTGTAAACATCACCACTAGTGGGACAAAGGCGGCCGGGTGTGGTTCTAGTCATCCACATCCTCGTGTGCCCTACCAGCCTTAATAGGTTCTCGCTAACAGCACTTACCTCAATAGTCTCTTAAGGCAATTGTGGGGGGGGGTCTTTTTGTACAGAATATCCGTGCCTTTAAAACTGAGCAAAGTCTGTTCATACATAAATAATATGCTATGGTAAAGTGCATATGTTGTTGTACTCAATATATGGGATAGTATGTACGACTTTGATCAAGAGCGCTTAAGACACTTAATTGTAGCCAACTTTCGTGTGAATCGCATCAAGGCGGGCCGCCATTGAACCAAATGAGAGCCCATTGAAACCGATTGCCTCATTGCCAAGATGTGCACCTGGGCAGCATATGCAATTAAAATCATATGCAATTAAAATCATATGTAATTCTAATCAAATGTAATTCTAATCATATGTAATTATGATCATATGTCATTGTAATCATGTAATTATAATGGAATCTAAGTATAATCATGTAATTATAATCTAATGTCATTATAATCACGTCATTATAATTAAATGTCATTATAATCATGTAAGTATAATAATGTAATTATAATCTAAGGTAATTATAATCAAAGCTATTAATGAGAAGCCCCCATCATAAAACGGAACGACAGTGCAGCCTGGAACACCCTGAGTTTCAAATAAGACGTGGACATGTTTAATGTAATTCTAGATTTGAAGCTTTCGTGATTGCAAGGATTCATATTCTTAGGTTTTTTCGGTAAAGTCACGTAGGTAAAAAATTAAAATTAATAAAAGTAAAATAAAATAAAAATCACGACGTTTCGGAGGCAACACAAGCTTCCGTCTTCAGGTGGAACCGTCACAGCACGATTGCTGTATCAAGTATAATGTATACTCTCTCTGTGCATATGCAACAACCATTAGCATTTCCTGAAGTGCATTGTGCTCCTCTTGTCTTTGGCCATCATCAAAATGAAGTTGAGCAAATGTGAGCAAGTGACAGCAGCAGTGACGATGTAATAGACAACTGTGGGTCGGTTTTGTGTTCATTCAGGCCTCGTCAGCACAGTCCAGTCACCAATACTCACTGCTGACAGTTCTGCCTCAGCCTGAACCATTATAGAAGATTGTATCGATGGGGTTGTTTTTTGCCATCATTTGCAGATTTGATTATTGTTGGCATTAGCCAAGCAAATGACCCCAATAGTGTGGAAGTGGAGACTCCACATCTATGGCTCCCAGAGGCATTAAGAGGACCACAATGCAGTTCAACAGGATATGGTTGTTGCATAATGCACAAAGTCTGCTGTGCTTTTTACATGTTGTTTGTGTTGTTTAAAACACATGGTTATGTAAGAGAACTTAATAAGCAAATACATAGCTCTTGTTTATACTGTGTAGTGTTATACATACTGCAGTGACCAATTTTGAGTGATATTGTTGAATCTCAGGACTAGGGCTTGAGTAAAGGTTAGGTAAATGTTACATCCTATAGTGCGGAGTTTGATTGATTCCCATTCACGATCTAACATCAGCGGTGAGTGAAATATAAACTGGTCCCAAGTCTCACCTTCAGCAACATGCACTGACCAGCGTGGTGAATTATGGTTTAAACAACCCGCCCCTTTGACCGAAACGGAGTGGGGGAGGCATCCAGCAGTGAACTGACATTGGATGTATATTATATTAATAGTGTGTGTTTCCATACGTTTGTACGAGCAAATGGGAAATAAATGTTTGGTCAAATGTGCATTGTTTTGTAATTAACACAATGCCCTTGACTCGTCAGGGTAATTATACCTTCAGTTTAACTTATACGCTCAAAGCTATTGCTGTTCACACGTTTCACATATATACAGTATATACATCAAATATCAAATGTAATTAGATTCCAGATGTTATTCACCTTTAAACATAGCTGCACTTTGGGCTATACCCGGCTGCCTATGTTCTGGAGATATTCGCCTGTACTGTGTTCCCACTTCTCTGCTCTCCACTGTTGATGTATTACCAAGTGGTAGTTGGACTGACATTGACGTCCTGATGGTGCTAATGATGATAGCGATGACGGTGATGGACTCTGGTTAGGCAGGTAAAAGACATTTGCACATAATCTGTGCCTCCCCTCGTTCGCCTTAAATTCCTAGGGACACTATTTGGCGCAGTGTTTAGTCCACTGGGCTTCGACCCTGATCACCTTGGGTTAAATTGCAATTGATATCTGAAACTGTACTGGGCCTTCCCTTAGATTGACTCAGTCATAAATGAGCACTTGCTACATTTTTTAGCAGGTACGGGATACAAACAGGAATAAAAAGGCTGTAGGGCCGTGATGGTCAGTGACCTAATCGTGCGTTGCGCAGGCCTTAAATAGGTTCTCGCAAACAGCCCTTGGCCGAGGGGATGATGATGGAGATGGAAGGATGGTTGAGTGAGCTTCCTTCCGTTCCACCCCATCGCTCTGGTTTGTGTTCGCTCGCACGCTCTCGCTAGCACACACGCACAAACATGCACACGCACAAAGACACAACGATCCCCTCTATAGCCTTCACAGACTGTTGAGGCAAGAGCACCTATGAAGGTCGGCACTGTGGCACACGAGGGGGTGGGTGGCCAGCACCACGCCCGACCGCCTTTGTCCCCCCAGTGGCGATGTTTGCACCCCGCACCAGGTACCTCATCTTAACTCTACCCCATCTTAACTCTAGCCCAAACCCATAATATTAATTATATCAATATTCCTAACTAAAACATTACCCCTTGTACCCACACATTTTAATATTAACGTTTAACTACATCGCTAAGCTTAACAATATTATTATACGAT